AAAGATCTTCTACTCGACCTTCATCACTTTAAAATTTGCTACAGCTTGATAGTTTTTAGTAAATTTTATTACAATATAAATAATTTTAAATAGTTTACTAAAAACAAATTAAAAAACTTTAATTAAAACAAGATGTTAAAACAAAATCAAAAACATAATAAATAAATTAAAACTAAAAAATGATTTAACTGTAATACTAACAATTAAAAACCTTTCAAAAGATGCAAAATATAAAAAAGTTATATATTGTTTAAGTTTTTACAAAAAACAAAAATATTCAAATAAAAAACTTTGAAAAAAACTAAAATATCACTAGTACAGATTACTAATTAGAACCAGCAAAAACTAAATTCTCTAATATAGAGCTAATTAATATACTTTGAGAAAAGATCAATATATAAAACTATATTAGAAATATTTAACTCTAAAGTATTTAAAAAAAAAAGAAAATATAAGGCAGTATTATAAAATATTTCAAAATTAGCATTAGAATCAACTCTGCTAAGACAACTAAGACCTTTAAAAGTCAAGACAGTATTTATATCAAACAATAGTAATAAAAATAAGAGAAATATAGCTTTTGTATATTTTAAATTTAAAAAAAATTGCCAAAAATCAAAAGAAAAAAGTGCTTTTTACTATTATAACAAGTTGTTTTAGTATAAAGAATAATACACATTATAAAAAGAAACAAAACTAAATAAATCAAATTAAAAAAATATAGAAAAATATTTTAATAAAAAATAAGAGGTAATATTTTATGAAATTCTAGTAACTTTGTATATATTACTATAAAGAAATTAATATTAGAAAATATTACAATTATAACTTTAAAAATCTATAAAAGGAAATAATATTCTTGTTTTTTAAATTCAAAAAAATAATGCAATCAATTATTAAATTAAACAATATTTTTTATAATAAATTAAAGACTATTGAATATTTAATTAAAACAAACATTATTAAAATTCCTGAAAAATGTTTTATATGTCAATCAGAAATTTATCTTCACAACACAATTTTATTTTGTAAAAATAAAACTTGTTATAAAAATATTTCTATTTTAAAAATACTATTTTCTTTAATTTAAATTTATTATCATCACATATTCTTTTAATTGGATATCTTTTTATTAATCGAATTAAAACTAAAACATTATGTGATATTACTGGGTTTTTACCAAAAACTGTAATTAAATTTATAAAATTATTTCGATATAAAATCATTAATTCTTTAACAGAAGATGACTTTTTATTAAATGAAGATTATGAAATAATTGAAATTGATAAAAGCAAATTTGAAAATTTCTGGATTGTTGAAATGATTCAACATACAAAAAATATAAAAAATAAAGCAAAAATTAATTTTATTCAAAAATGCTATTTTGAAATTGTAGAAAATAGAAATACTAAAACAATACATAGAATTATTAAAAAACATATTAAAAAAAGATCAAATGTATATAGTAACAGCTGAAAAAGTTATTGTGGTATTGAAAAATATAAAATAAAACATAAACAAGTAAATAATAATAAAAAAAATATCAAATTATTAAAATGAAAAATTTATAGTAATACAATCAAATTAGTTTGGAATGCTTTTAAACTTAATTTACCAAGACAAAATCGAAATAAAAAATTTATTCAAAAATATTTATTACAATATATATAGTTTCAAAAACAAAGAAAATATTTGGAAAGCTTTTATTGATTGCTTAAAATAAAAATTATACTTTATAGCCATTTCAATTACCAGTTTTTTTTGATCATGAATTAATTTAAAATCTATTGCTTGTTGTTTAGCTTGTTTATTTGTTTTGTTTTTTGTAATATAAAAACATTTTTATTTACATTTGTTATTTTCAGACTATTTAAATTTCCAAGCTTGATGAAATTTATTAAATAAAATTCTATTATATTTACTAGTATTTGTTTTATATAATTTACAATTTAATGTATTTAATTTATGATTTGTTTCTCTAAGATTACATTTGTGATTATCTGTTCCAATCCTATTAATATGATCAATCATTTTGAATTCTGAATAAATCATTTGATGAAATTGAATATAAATAGTTTTAACTTTAGTTTCAATATAATATGTATTTTCTTTTTTATGTGAATGTTATGTATAGTTTTTAATTAGATTAAAATTATTAAGGTCAGTTAAAAAAGTGATATCTAGAGTTTGTGTTAAGACTTTATTGAAGAGTGTTGCATCAATTTCTACTAATTAATAAGAATTTGATTTTCTTCATACTGGTAATTCAATTTAAGCTAATAGAACTTCGAATGAATCGAATATTTTCTTTCAAAGTGATTTGATAGTTTTTTCTTTTAATGAATACATTTTTAAAATTTTAATTATAAAACTTTCATTAAATTTATACAATTTTAATTTCTCTGAGTTAAATTCAAAAAAAATTTTTTTTGCTAATATTTTAATTTTATTAAATTTTATTATTTAAATTATTATAAAAAAAAATACAATTAAAAAAAACTAGAATTTTGGTTCAATCAGTTATTAAATTATAAATTTAATATGCAGTTCTGCTATGAGCAAGCTTGAACCATAGAACCAAAAAAAAAAGAATGAAGAGCCAAGATTTCAAAAGAAATTGGTGTCAGCCTCCAGACCATTTATGACACAAAAACAGTAAACTTTAAAAAGAAAACTGCTTCAACCTTTCTTTATGCTCATCTATTTTTGAAAAATAAAAATAACCCAGATATCTCTTATTCAGATGAACAGCCTCAGCATATCAGGAGTTTTTGTAAATATAGTTTACAAGTCTTTGTTTGAAATTTTTTTTTTGTTTTTAAGACTAACAAAAAAATTAATAAAAAAACAACTAAGCTAAATCTTCTATGCTACAATTTTCATTTAATAGAGAGAAATCTATTTGGTCAAATTGTACTAAAAGCTATTCAAAACAATTGATGAGTTCAACTCTTCTCTACTATATCATTTAGAAATTTTATGCATGAACTAGTAGGAATTCTTTAGAATAGTTTAAATTACTAAATTTAGTAGAGATTCTCTAGAATAGTTTAAATTACTAGCTCAGAAGCCCTATTCAAATAAAATGTGTAGTTATCAAAGAATAGAACAAGTAAAGTGAAAATTTTTTGTAGATCAACAGTTTATATAAATAATTATTATACTAAATATAGATTATTATTAAAAAAATCATATGATTATCTTTTACTAAAAATAATTCTTATCAATACTTTTAATTCAATCTTGTTTACTAATATTAGAAATGATTTTCAAATTTGAATGTTCTAAATATGTAATAATTTTTTTTTAATCTTTATTTAAAAGTACAAATAAAATTAAATAGTTACAAATTTATTCTTATTATTAAAATACTGATTCAATTGTTTATATTACACTTACAATTTTGTATCTATTGAAATATTTTTATTATTAATCATGTCTACATTATCTAGCAGGAATAACCAACAAAATATTTATGAAAACTTGCCTTCTTCTTATGATGAATCACAAGCATCAGGTATTTAAACATTAACTTTTCTTTCTAAAATCATTGTAATTTTTTATGAAAACAAATTTTTACAAAAAATTTCAATAACAATTATAACAAAATAACTACTTTTTTTTCAACAGCAGGTATTCCCATAGTCAAACAAATTGAAATGATTATTGAAGAAATTATTGCTTTTTCTGATAGTATAATTTATAAATTATTTATAAAAAATTTTTTAATATATTAATTTGTTATTTTATTATTTAGATGGAATCAAATATTTACAAAATTATCTTTTGCAAGAGTTTTTTGAAATGGGAAACAAAGTTGAAAAATTAGAAGAAAACATTTCTTTTTATAAGAAATGTTTGTTCACTTTATTTATTATTATATTTATTATTTTAATTTTGTTTGGTATTTATATATATCAAATACAAAATATTTATTTAATGAATATTCAAATTTTTAGTTCACGAGTAAAAATCAAAATTAAAAAAGAACTTTTTAATGCTTATTTAGAACTAATACAAAAACAGTTCTTGGAATTTATAGAAACAATTAAAATAAAATAATTTAATTTTTTAATAATTTTAATGTTAATTACTGAAAACATGTTTCAGTATTGTTTTTCTTTATTTATGATATATCTGAATTAAATTATTTGATTCAGATACATCATAAATAAAGAAAACTTTAAATAATTAATAAACTGCACATTATATTATATATTTATTACTAAGTTGTTTAACTATAAATAAACTTCAAGTTTTTATCAATCTATGTTATATAAAATTTTATTATAAAAATGTTAAAATTTTACAATTTTATATGTAACTTGTTGCCAGAAAAAATATCTAGTAATAATATGACAAAAAATCAACTTTTAATAAAAATTAATAAACTAACAACAGCATTTAATAAACAAAAAAAACATCATATTAATGAAATCAGTCTTTACCAAACAACTTTTGAAAAACAAAATCAAGAAATAAAAGAAAATCATGCTAATGAAATCAGTCTTTACCGAGAATTAATTAATATAAAAACAAATGCAATTACAACTTTAATGTCTACAATTGAAAACTATAAAAAAGAAGTTAAACGAATTGAAGAAATAAGAAAAAATCATGAATATGAATATAGTGAAAGATTAAAAGAAAAAGATAAAATTCTTAAACATAAAAAAGAAATATATAAACATGAAAAAGAAAAAAGAGAAAGAATTTATAAATGTGAAATAGACCTTATGCAACAAACTATTAATCATTTAGAACAAACTATTAGAGATTTACAAACTCAACTTAGAAATTATGAAAATGTTTTCTTTTTTTTTTTAAATATTAGCAGTGAGGCCATGCCTTTAACTTTATTGAAATTCAATTGAAGTTTTTACAAAGAAAA